TATATATATATATATATATAGTATAAAAGCCATAAAATCTTTGAGTTAGACATAATATATATGGATGAACATTTTTCACCCTTCAAATAGTTTTCATTAACTATTTAGTTACTATTTTGATGATGTAAGAATAAGATGATATGTAGTATAAATATCTATCAAATGTGAAAGAAATAAACACACCATCTTGAATACAATCTTCTAAGTGTTCAATAATCCTCTCAAATCTCCTTCTTACTTTATAATGTTTTAGTTTAACTTTGTTAGTTTTTAGTCTTAATTACATCAAATTTACAACACGTTATCAACACGAAAGCTCTAATCAAGGTTATTAAACAAGTGAAAATCACATCTATCTTAATCAAGGTATGTATTACTTAGTAAAAAAACATTATTAATTATAAAAACCTCCATCATATTAAAAACAAAAATACTAATGAATTAATAAAACTTATTCATTATGGACTACTAACGATTTTTATTTCTTATACTAACATTTACTTTATGCAACTAACTTTTATTTATGCATACTAACATTTACTTTATGCAACTAACCTTTATTTATGCATACTAACATTTACTTTATGCAACTAACATTTATTTATGCATAATAACATTTAAAATTATGCAACTAACTTTTATTTATGTATATTAACATTTATTTATACTTGTCAATGTTTATTTATTTATATTTGAGATATTCTTCATAATTTTATTTAAACATTTACTAATATTTATTTATGTTTCTAATTAATAAAATTATACCAAGTAAAATTATGTACTAATTAAAGGTCTTATTGAATGATTTATAAAATACATATACATACACACACACACACACACACATATATATATATATATATATATATATACACACACACACACACACACACACACACACAACGATTATATATATGCAACGGTTATAAACAGCAAAAACAACGACTATTTTTCTACTATAAATAACATCATTGTCAAATTTCTTTCTACAAAAAAAGGAGTAAATTCTCTCACTTTTCAAGGTTATCAAGATCAAAATAATTCATCCGGTTGTAATTCTCGCAACTATAATGACTATAGCATTTAGCTTCCTATTTTTCAATCTCACACCGAATGTATTTTATCCTTTCTTAGTCTTGTATGGGATGATTCTTCTCCCACTTCTGTTTTGTGCAATACATATTGAAATAAATGGATTTCAATTTCCATCTTGTTATTTTGTTTAAATTTATAGTTACAATATGTCCAACATTGCAAAGCTCGAGTTTGCAGCACTTGAAGTTAGTGGGAAAAACTATGTGTCATGGATGATAGATGTAAAAATGCATCTTGAGTCAATCGGAATCTCAAATGCTATACATGAATTTAATAATTGCTTGGCACAAGACAAGGCGAAAGCACAAGTTTTCCTTCGTAAACATATTGATGAAATGTTGAGATTTGAATATCTTGATATTACTGATCCAAGTGTTCTCTGGAATCTCTTGAAAGAAAGATTTGATCATCAAAAGGAAGTTATACTTCCAAATGATAGAGATGAATGGAGAACACTGAGGCTTCAAGACTTTAAGAAAGTAAATGAATACAACTCAGCTTTGTTCAAAATATGTTCACAACTCAAGTACCGTGGACAAGAAGTTACCGATTAAGATATGTTGGAGAAAACGTACTCCACATTTCATGCAACAAACATTACCTTGATGCATTCACAAAATATTCTGAAGTGAATACATGCATGCTTGTTGCAGAGAAAAACAATGAGCTCTTGATAAAAAAACCATGAATCTCGTCCAACGGGATCAGTAGCACTTCCTGAAGCAAATGCTACAAATACTGATGGTTATCGAAACAATACATGTGGACGAGGACGTGGCCGTGGTCGAGGACGAGGCCGTGTCTATTTTAATCGAAACCAAAGCCATAATCAGAACCATAATTTTGGTCGCGGACAAGGTAATAATCGTGTTCGTGGCCAGAAAAAGAATAATTACCAATCTTTACAAAGAAACACTATCCATACAGAAGAAAAGGCCAAAGTAGCAAGGCATGATGTTGGGACATCACAAAAATCTGATGGTTCATGTTATAGATGTGGTAGCACAGGCCATTGGTCAAGGACCTGTCACACACATGCACATCTTTGTCAACTTTATCGAGAGTCCATTAAAGGAAAAGGAAAAGAAGCAAACCTCATTATTAATGTTGAATGCACTCCGCTAACTGTTGCTGATTTCTACAATGACATGGAAGACATAAACTAAAAATTTATGTTATTGTTCTTGTAAACCTGTTTTTCCTTCCTTTGTTTTTCATGTAATGTCTTTCCTACAATAAATGAAGTTTCTTTATAATAATTATTGTGATTATGTTTATTGGCTTATTATTTCTTTCATATGTGAAGTTTAATATGAGTCCAACTGGAGCACAACACCAAGAAAAGGTTGGAGATCTTTACATAGCAGATAGTGGTAGTACGCATACTATTTTGAAATCAAAGAAATATTTTTCAAAATTAGTGCCAACAAAAACAATCATACATACAATATCAGGTCTTGCAGACTTGATAGAGGGGACTGGAAACACCTAATTTATATTACCAAATGGTACGAAGTTTTGTATAGAAAATGCCTTATTTTCTCCAAAGTCTAATACAAACTTACTAAGTTTCAATGACATATATTTCAAAGGATATGACACAAAAACTGTGACCATTGAAAATAAGAAATATATGTATATTATAGACAAAAACCGTGTGCTTGAAAAACAACCAACACTTGATTCTGGTTTGCATTATACATATATACATATGATTGAATCAAATATGATAATCAAAGAAAAACATTGTGATCTTGGGACATTCAGTTTATGGAATGATAGGTTGGGCCACCCAGGATTAACAATGATGCGAAGGATAATTGAGAATACACATGGGCACCCATTGAATGACCAGAAGTTCCCTCAGTCCAGTAGCATAAGATCATGTACATCTTTTTCCCTTGGAAAGTTAATTATAAAACAATCTCCAGTGAAAGTTGAAAGGGAGTCACCTAGATTTCTAGAAAGAATTCAAGGTAATATATGTGGACCAATTCATCGACCATCTGGTCCATTTAGATACTTTATGGTCCTAATAGATGCATCCAGCAAATGGTCTCATGTTTGCCTATTATCAACTCGTAATGTAGCATTTGCAAAGTTTCTTGCTCAAATTATTAAATTAAGGGCACATTTCCCTGATTAAACTATCAGAAGAGTGAGACTTGATAATGTTGGTGAATTTGCTTCACAAGCATTTAATGACTATTGTATGTTTGTAGGAATTGTTGTTGAGCATCCATTTGCTCATGTACACATACAAAATGGTTTAGCCGAATCACTGATTAAACGTCTCCAGCTAATAGCTAGACCATTGATAATGAGAACCAAACTTCCTGTTTCTGTTTGGGGCCATGCAATCTTACATGCTGGATCATTGATACACATGAGACCAAGTTCATATCATGTATATTCTCCCCTACAACTTGTTTTTGGTCAAGAGCCAAATATATCCCATTTGAGAATTTTTAGGTGTGCAGTATATGTCCACATTGCACCACCACAAAGGACAAACATAGGTCCTCAAAGAAGGTTGGGAATATATGTAAATGATCGTTGACATTGAAAAAAAAATAAGCGATGTCACTTATTTTTGCTTAAGTAAATGATCGTTGAGTAATTATATATTTATCACTTTTTACCTTGGACAATAGACAACGTTGTTTATTTTTGTTTTCATATTAACCTGAAAAATGTCATGTCACAAAACTGTACGTAATTTCTTAAAAAAACCGGATAATTAGGTTAATGTGAAAGGTAACTTAAATATAAGTATAAGGGTATTTTTTTTCATATAAACAAAACTTAATTGTTTTCTGAATGCTGATATATAAATGTTTTTTTTTTTCTTCGCTATATAGAATGTAATAAATTGATTAGTGAAGACAGATCAACAATTGCCAAATAATTTATAACTATATATGCCATTTCACAATTTATATTTTTTCGAAAACATTATATAATCATGAGTTTATATTGTGATGTTTTAAGGTCTATATATATTCTACTATAACATTTTACGATTCATAATTATATATACAATTTTATATATGGTAGCAACTTCCTATAAGTAATAACTTCATTAACATTATAATTTATAAGAGTCGTGAAACTGTGGACGATGATTTGGAATCAATTTATCATGTGTCGGCTGCATGTGCCGCACATGCTACGCAACGTCATACAAAAAGTTTAAAGTTTTATTTATATAAATTAAATAAGTAATCATTTATTTGATAAATGACGATTTGATTAAAGAAATAACATACACACAATCTAAAATTCATATGAAATGATTATTATGATGCATGGAGTACAACTTACAAGAAGTTTTGATGGCGTCATTAATAATATTTGATATGAATGATATTTTTTTTTGTTATAATTACTAATTCTCGTTTAGGCTATAAAATTTATAAATTTAGTTTGTTAGCTGTGAAAAGTTATGATATAGGTAAAAGTTTGTTAGTTATAAAACTAACTGTTAGTTTATAAATTAACTGATAAAAAATTATATTTAATAAAACTAGTTAATAAATTAGCTGTAAAATATAAAATATCATAAAAAAATATTTAGATGAAAATATATTTTAATTAACTATATATTCAGAAGTTTTTTAAAAAAATTAATAAATTAATTTAAATAGATTTTTAAAAAGTTAACTTATAAGTTACTTTAATTTGTCTATAACAACTTAAAAAATAAGCTCAACTTACATGACAAACACAAATTTAACCTCGTACATACATACAAGTATAACGACTACAATATAAAATGTTTCATATCAATAAGAGATTCTTTTAATAAGTTACAAGTGAAAAAGCTCTCGAAAAGCAACGAAAAGTAATCAAAATAAAAGCAAAATCTTATCTTTTCCTTTTTTTCTTTCTATATTTCAAATCAATTATACTTTGATGAGTTTAGAATAAAGCTTCCCTTCGGCTGATCTCCTACCCTCCATCTTCAACATATGAAGCAGAAAATCGCTCCACGTGTCAATGGGTCCAGGTAGACACCAATGCACACAGTCATTATACAAAGCCACGTTCTCATTGGGCCAATGTCCAAATTTACTAGGGTGTCCATCGGGCCTTAACAACATGGGTTGTGTTATATCCAAAAGCCTAAGTTTAAGCCCATTATCCTTGGCCTTCTTTTCGGCCCATTTAAATTCTTCCATTTGGGATAAATACATTTCCAAATTTGAACCTTCTAACCTTATTTCATTGCTCTTAAATGGTTTTTTCCTAGGGCAATCTCCCCCTTTGTTCCAATCCCCACCCTCGAAATGTGTTGGTGCAAAAGTGCGTAACATTGCTACGCCCTTAAAGTTTTTTCTACTCATAATTGCTTTGTACGCTGTACGAAACGCTCTGTGATACCCAAATGTCATTGGGTAATCAGTGATGTTGTCTTTCTGACAATACTTACAACCAATTATCTGGCCTTTCTCATAATAGAGCGAGGGTCGTGAGAACCAATGTCCTCCATTTATGATTAGGTAATTGAAATCGTCAATGTGATTGGTCCAAGCATTGTCAAATTCGTCTAGGTAGAGACTGAAGATGCCAGCTAGAGTTGGGTCATCAGTATTAGGCTCTTTGAACTTTACCAAAAATGGTGACCAATATGTGGCGAGGGTGAAGTTGTATGATTCGTAGTACCAACGTTTGAAATTTTCATCTTTTGTGGTAGAAACATCAATCGGATATTCAACCTAGAAATATAATTGCGAGACATGAAAATTATAAAATTTGAAAAAGGGTTACATGTAAAAACTCCTAAAGTATACGATCTATAATGACAAAACCAGCCACTAGATGATTTGACTCATCTATTATGAAAGTTTAGGATTAAGAAAGAATATGATGAGCATTTTCATTTAAAAGATATTGGACAGATGGACTGAAAAATAATCATAAAAAAGAGACTAAAAAACGTTTAAAAGAAAAAACGCAAGATAAAGGATTCTAATTATTACCGTTCAAGAATAAACAAAAGAAACTAAGAATTAGAAACATACGAGGATCTATTAGTAATTTTAATATTAAACTAAGATATATGTGTCTATTCACTTAATATATCCGATTTAAAAATACAAACCGAAGGCCTAAATGAACAAATATTATCAATAACCATAAATTGAACAAATCGAATTACATAAAATCTAGCTAAACAATGAAACATATGTATATATATTTGGTGTAGGTATATGATGATTTCGGTGGAAGAAGATAAGATAAATCCATTCATGTTGCCATCAAAATTCTGTCACCAAGTAATATACTATATTTCTTTTAAAAAATAAAATAGTCAATTTAATACATTTTTTTTTTTTATTTTTTTTTATTTTTTTTTTTCTTAAAAGGGAATCACCCCACTCATTTTTGACATTCTACACGTTTTAAATTCGAATTCCAAGTTAATATTTTTATCAAAGCGCGAAAAAAGGAATACATTTTTTTTGGTGATATATATTGTAATTATAGATAAATTGATTTAGCGTTATATTGATCTATAAGGATCCCAAGATACAATAAAAATTAGGTTAATGAAAATGGAGTCAGTAGATCAAAACTCGAAAATCAGCAAAATGAATTTAAGTGGGTACAAAATTTTAAATTATTTTATTAAAAGAATTCTTATTTTAGTATTAATATAACATGTATATAAAGAATATCATACAACTAACTAGTTTATAACCCGTGGGAACTACGGTTATAAAATTAATTAAACTTTTATAATAAAAATTTATAATTATTAATCAGTTATTTTAAATAAGTCATTTTAAATAAATTATTAATTAAGAGATATATCAAAATTTTAAAGTTATTATAACTTCAAAATTTTCATATAATTAGAAAATGAAAATTTGAATTTTGAAATTAATTGTCTAATATATCTACATGACACATGAGTTATATTAGAGTGACACTTGGCAAAAGAAGATTAAAACTATTCATTTATTAGAATAAGGATAAGGATTATATTTAGACAATCAAAAATCAAAAATTAATATATAGAAAGCAATTACAGGTTAATTAAGTTCCTTATAAACTGCTGCTAAAACTTACCCTGGTTTAAATTCATTTTTCGAAGTCTCTAACCATCACAATATTATTGCCACTTCTAACTAAAGTCCTACATATGAACCAATTAAGTAATTTTAATTATCAATTAATTTAATTATATAAATATTCCACATCAAAAATATTAGTCGGTCACCTACTGTATTCAAGTCAACAAAGCAATATAATACAAACTAAATTATATCTTAATTCTTTATATTTCCGTTATTCAAGGTTTCACATTTCCCAAAGTGTTCTAAGATTTTTTATTTTATATCTTTTTAAGATTTACTAATATCAAGATTTTAAAGTATCATCTACAATAAAAAAAAAGTGCTTTTCAATCGACTTATATAAGCCTAATAATACCTTCTGAAAACGAAGTTATAATTACTAAATTTTACTTATTTATAACTAAATATATATATTTTTTCATTATTAAAATCTACTTTAATTGAATACATAATTATAAGAAATAAAAAAATTAGATTTATTCTGTGTGAAAATGAGAGCTCAACAGTCAAAAGTTCTCGACTTTTCTTTCCAGGAGTTACGAATCTTGTGTCTTTTTTCTCAACACAAAGCATGTAAAAAGACAAATTCACCCTCACCTTCTAAGCTCGAATGCAAACTCGAGAGAAATACCAAGAACAGTAACGTGATCAAGACTCGATCTTTTAACACAATAAAATAGTTTCTGCAAATAAATTAATTCGAATTCTCATAAAAACAAGATTGAACAACGACGCAATCAAGATTCCATCTTTTTAGTACCCAGAGATTTACTTTTCATAAACCCAGAAGATAAGTTAAATAATGAATATAAAATTGCAAACTTTTTATAAAATTAATGAAGGAAGATGAAAGGATATGAGTATATGAAGATGAACATACCCTGGACAACATGCAAATCAAAGATTGCATATGATTCCTGCCAACAGAATCACCCACAAACGCCAAAGCTTTATCTCTCACGATTTCCAAGAACTGATAAGGATTAAAAACGGGAAGATCACATTCATCTGGTTTCCATTTCCACTTCATGTAATCTGAATCGGGTCGCCCATATTTCTGGCAGTTTTGGTGTTCATGGATTGCCCAACACGTGGTGTTATGGTAGTAAGGAGCATTAGGGTTTGGTACCCACTCGCCGGAAAACACGTCGCATTTGTGGTGGTTATCGTCGATGGTGATGAGTTGGTCATGGGGGTGGTTCGCCGGCGAGATAGTGTCCCGCGAGGCGGAGGAGGAATGGTTGGAGGAAGATAGAGATGGGAATTTGTTGAAAGGGAAATAGAGAGGGATTACAGTGAGGATGATTAGGGTTAGGGTAATGAGCAAGAGTGTTTTGGAGGTGCTTCGATGGGTTGTACCTTGAGTGGTCTTGCCATGAGGGTTCCCAAACCCAAGCCCAGTCTGTTTCATGAGAGAGAGAGAGAGAGAGAGAGAGAGAGAGAGAGAGAGAGAGAGTCAAAAGATGTAACTTGTAAGGTGGTGATCCATCTGTTAATAACCGTTTTTTCAACATTATGTTTTCCGGTTATTTTTATTGAGAAAAAAAAATTTAAAAATTGAAAAAAAAAAAAGAAAATGGCAAATCGTGATATCCAACATTAATATTAAAAAAAACTTAAGAGAGTAATTATGTTTCAAAATCCTTCAAAAAACACCATTCGATAAGTAAGGTTTTCATAAAAAAAAAAAATAGTGTTCAAATGTCATCTTATGGTAACCGACATTTGTAGGTGAATGACAAGATATTAATAATAAAAACTAATTAAGAAAAAAAAAAGAAAATGACTAAGGATGTTAACAATGTTTCAAAACCATTCAAAAAACATCATCCAAATTTTGATTGTCAAGGTAGCGTCTTTAAACAAAAATCCCCAACGAACTATACATTTTGTTCAGATGCTAACCATTGATAATCGGCTACCTATTTATTGGTGACATGTCATTATAATTTGTGACATGATAGTCCCCAATTAATGACATATCACCAATTATTATGTCATTTCACTAATAAACAGGGAGTCGATAACCGGTGGGTAACATTTGAACAAACGTATAATTTGTTGGTGTTTTTTATATAAAGACGTTACTTGGATGATGTTTTCTGAACATACCAAATTTAGATAGTGTTTTTTGAATGATTTTAAAATATAGTTACCAGCATGAGTCATTTTTTCTTGTTTTTTCCCTTAATTAATTTTTACCGGTAATATGTTGTCATTCACTTATAAATGTCGGTTACCATAAGATAACATTTGAACAAAATATGCAGTTTGTTGGTGTTTTTTATACAAAGATTTTACTTAATTGATGTTTTTAAAAATACCAAACTTAAATGATGTTTTTTGAATGATTTTGAAACATAATTATCTTAATAAGTCATTTTCCTAAAAAAAAATGTTAGGTAAAAAATAAATAAAAATAATACAGTCAATTCATTCAAAATGGTCCATGGACCAAAATCATTAATAAAGTTTATTATAGAACCCAAAACTAAAACTAAAGCATCTTTTCGAGACACAATCCATAAAAATTTGCATACATTAGGGACCGAATTTATAATTTAATCCACTTTTAATTACCAAACTATTTTAATCTAAACGAACATATAGATTTACTTATGAGGGGTGCTTTCCGTAAACGACAAAATTGTAAATGTGTTTGTTAGTAAAAAAAATAAAAAAATTTACGGCTTTTTGTACATAAATTTTTTAAAATACTTAAAATGACATATTTGCCTTTATCATTTTCTTTTACTATTTTTCTAATAAAAAATTAAACAAAAAGAAAATGTAAACCCACCCCACAAATACCATTTGTCTATCTTCATTCGTCAGAGATAACCACTACCGATGATGAATCTACAAATCCTAACAAGTTTGCAAATCATTGGCGCCGTCCATTTTGTTCCTCGTAGACTACCACCGTCAGTGTCACCCTTATCGTTCGTCAGACCATCTGATCGCTTGGTTTTCAAAGTTATTGTTCATATCAAAAAATACATGGCAGATGTGGTTTCCAGACTTGAGAGATGGGTAGAAGGCAGTGAGAAAGGAGCAATTGTTGTACCACCACATCTCCCGCGAATCCTAACCCTAACCCTAATACCAACACCACCGTATGAAAAAACTAACCCTGACGTTGTAGAACCTGAACCCAATGCCGTCAAACATGTACTCTAGACGAATGATTTGGCAAACTAGGAAAATCCTAAATGACCGATCTTTATGGAAAGATTTTTCGATCCCAAGGTGACAACGACGCTAGGGTTAGGTTTTCGCTACCAAAGAAGATGAAGGGTGTCATCAACGCTCCATATAAAAAAACCATGAACATCCATCCTCTTCTTCATCGATTTTGTTTTCAGAAAGCCATAATCGATTTGGTTTTCATTTTCATTTTCTGGACGTTTTTAGATCCGGAAAATCGAGTTTTCTAAGTTTTTGTTTGCAAATCTCAAAAACCCAAAGATTATGATTATGTTTTCGTTTGTATGTCTAGAAAAAATAAATTTTGTTAGTTCATGATTCTAGGGTTTACGATTTTGCAGATCTAGAAAAATGTGTTCTTGTTCTTGAGATCTTGAAATATCTCATGCTTGAGTGTTCTTGTTCCAGTTTGAGTGTTTTAAATAAATCGAGTTTTCAAAAAAAAAATCGAGAGTTCATGTTTCAGCTTACAGATGTAAAAACATTGAGTGTTCATGTTTGGCATAAATAATGGACTCATTTGTCAAAGCAAATGGAATACTAATCATTTTATCTAGATCAAACCTTTGTGCTAGGTCCTTTTGAGGCATGATCAAAATAGTGCCATGTGGTATTGTCAAGAATCCTCTCCAGGAGTCATACATATTGATCACCTTCAAGATATTGTCAACATATGCATAAAGATTTAAAACTTAACATTAATATTGATCTATCTCCATAGATTTTACATTCTAAGAATGTAGTTGTCTTTCCTAAGTCTTTCATTTTAGAAATACTTTTCGAGTCAAGGCAAAAATGTCTTGCACAGTTGAAATGTAATTTACCATGATTAAGTATGCCTTATACATACACGATTAGGAATGTCACTATGCTCCCACTATGTGACAACCGAAGAAAACACGTCAACTACCGCCGTTAGGAATTAGCTTAGACAAATTAATGTAATCGTTTAGCAATGTAATACTGCATTATATTGATAAATATATTCAAATACGCCCTTATATATATAAATTATACGACACATAGGCAAAAAAAAATAGGTGCACGAAAAGTCGTGTCATCTTAGGGACTGGTTAACATATTCGGGAAGTACACGCCGACGTGATTCCAAAAATACGAACTTCATAAAAATCCGACTTCGTATGAAAAACTTATGGTTTCTTCTAGAAATAAAAATCAACCGCGTAAATAATTTTACGACGTAAAACTAGTACGAAGAGATAGGTTAAGTTTTGGCTAATGTCACAAAAAAGGAAAGTTGTAGTACTCCTCAATATAAGAATTTGGAGATGAAAAATGTCAAGATCGGAGCCCGTACAGGGAAGTTATGATTTTTATAAAATCATTTACCGATACCCTCGTTAGGCCAAAAGATGAAAGTTAAAATTTGTCAAAACAACCTAAAGGAAAGTTGTAGTGCTAGTCGAGAGCATTACGTGGGTATAAAGAGGGTAAAGAACGGAGCTTATACACAAGAGATATGAAATTTTCAAAAACATTTCTGTGTGCGCGCACACACTGATGCATGATTCGTGAAGATTGCGGATGACGTGACCCAGCGAGAGAGTGACACGTGGCAATGCCCGGTTGGAGCCACGATGCACTTTGTGCGGCACACACACCAAAAGGGGCGACATGCAGTCCAAAACCTTGCTATAAATAGAAGTGTCTGCAGACCCATTTCTGCGTACTCTCTCAAAGCCTTTCACTCATTTTGTTCGACGCGCTTCAGTTCGTAAGAGGTCTCCGAGCTCCCGAGCCACGAAGCGACCCTACTACCGCGATTCACGCTACTAGGGTGAGTTCACGACCCCACTTTTATAAGTTTTTAAAAGTTTTATGGGGGAGATACATGTTATAGTACTACATTATTAATTTTACAAAATATTATTATTTGAAATATATTAGTAGTTTACAAAATGCATGAAACGTTATGATGATATTATGTCTGGTAGTTACCCTGCGAAAATTTGAGGAATAATATTATGCCTAGTAGTTATGTTGCACAAACTATAGGATAATATTATACCCGGTAGAAGCTCTGTCAAAAACTATACAATAATATTATACCTAGTCGTTATACTAACAGATACTCTAGGATAATATAGTACCTACTTGTTACGCTGTCCTAAAATCCTATCAAGAATATCAAAAACCACAATAATTATATATATATATATATATATATATATATATATATATATATATATATATATATATATATATAGGAAAATGATCAAATGAGAACACCTAAAAGATTGAGAACGCGAAAACACTTCTGGACCAATCATATTATAAGGGTATATTAGTAATTGTTTATTTATTTTAAATAAAATCAAATTAAATTCAAATCTTAATTTCCTAAAATTTAGTGATAATGATTATCTACCTAAAATAAAATATGAACCGATTTTTTTAGTTCTTTTATTAATGGATATTAAAGATAATTTATATTATTTTTTTTTGTCAAATAAAAAATCCTTTTTTTTTCTAATTTATTATTCATCAAAATAATTTCAATCATATATGAATAAAACATTTGTAATTATAAAAATATATGTTTGTAATCCTAAATAATAAATCATAATTTAGAGATAACATTTATAAATGAATAAAATAAATTACTAATCATACATGAATATGCTAACAAATAAAAAAAATCAACACATTAAAAATTATATTCATAAAATAAAATTTTCAAAGATTGAGTTTATACATTTATATATTTATATTCATAAAAGAATATCCCAATACTAGTTTGATACATTTATACATAATTATATTCAACAATGATTAAATCACTTCAAATGAAAAAAAAATTGCAACAGCCATTTTCTTGAATTGGTCACAACCCCTTCCTTCTCTTTGAATCAAATGGTCGCGAGCTTGTGTAACGAGCAGGAGCAGGCACGGAATCTAAAGAATTCTAGCATTCCTTTTTCTTTGATTAATATCTACAAAAATAACAATAACATGTAAAGACAATAAAAATACCAACAAAATATTAAAATGAATGATTAGTAGAAAAACATATGTTGTTATAATCATAAATGATTATGATGAGGGCATGATTGTGTTTTTGCATCTCTTTCAAATAGTAAGCTTGTAAACCATACGTAGCACAAGTCCCGTATGAATATGATTTGTATAAATTGTGATAAGTAAATGAATTTTAGGGTTTAAATGTTGGGATTTCAGATTCAGGGCCATGTGTGAGCTGGTAAACCAAACGTG